AAAGTAACACAGCAAAAAAAAAAAAAAAAAACAATTGCCTGGTCAGGAAGGGAGGTAAAACCTCAGGAGGGCAAGTGGTTAATTTGCAGAGATTTCTTCTTAATTCCTGTTTGGCCATGGGACAGAAAGTGAAGGGAAATCTCTGCAATAGCACACAGATGGCAGAGAAAAAAAAATAAAAATCTGACGGGTTATAACCTTCCTTTGCTCTATTCAAAATGAAAAAAAGTTTTGCCGATAGTTCTGATAATTCCAGCCCCACCAGCTGTACACACTCATCTTCCTTGAGCTTCTCCACCGCTCTGTTCAGCTCTGGGAGAGAAAAGAGGAAGCCCAGTGACTTTCCAAATTGAAGATTATACAGGACTGAAGACTCCTCCCATCCTTACTTTCCCTTTCCAGGTGTCTCATAATTTTGACAAATAAGTGCCAAGGAAAGGATCAACAGTTATGCTGGGCATAAAGAGATTGAATTTTAGCTGATTCATCATGGACTGGCCGAATTGTGATCTCTGTTTGACCATCCTTGTTCAACAGAAGTTGATCGTTAGGTTGACTTCTGTCCAATGGACAAGCTGGAAAGCTTTTGGTGATAAGCAGCTACAGCCACTGATCAGTGTATCCTGACGGGAGCTGCTGTCCATAGTGTCCCAGCCAGGAAGGGGGGGGATGTTTCACGGATTTCTTCATCCACCTCACTTGTGTGGATGTAGGAATCTAACCATCTAAGCCTATGTCTAGGAAGCAGAGGGTGCCCAGCTCAGGGTGAGCGGTTTAATTTTTGTAGCAGGTTTGCCTAAAATAATTAGTATTTTTTTTTTTTATTAAAAAACAAACAAACATTCTTATACCTCACACATAAAGGAACGACCACCAAAACTGGAAATAAAAGTAGATTGTCTTTATTCGAATTTTCGTTTACAGAAAAACAATATAGTTGCTTCACTAGTGCTTTAAATGATCTGAACTGTATGTAGTATAGTATGCGACTTTCAGAAGAAAAAAAGTCAAAAGCAAAAATTTTCTATTGTATCCAAACTAAAATTGACAAGCACATCTGCACTCGTGGCATCAGGCCTGCCAAAGCTGTATTTTTATTTTTGGTAGAGTAAGCTTTTAAAAGGCACATTGAGTCATCCCTGGCCACAGAATAGAGTGACATGGCTAGTACGTTGTAAAAACACAACTACCATACCAGATAATTGTTTGCTTTTACTACTATCAGGTGAAATTGGTAGTAAAGCAAAGTAACCAATTAGCACGTAGCTGTTCATTGCAGGTCGGTCTAGGGAAACATAAGTCTGAGAGGTTGCCCAGATCTTAAGCTGGCCATACTTGTTGCAATCTAATTGTACATTTTGACCCACAAACATACTTGAAGTTCAAGGTTAGACAGAAATCGAATGGACTGTTAAGGTAGGCCCCTGTGATATATAGGTTTGGTGGATCTAAAGCTGATTGTACAATCAACTGTATCATGCATGTCCAAGCTTCGAGACAAATTTGTACATATGCTACTTATGGTGGGGAGAGGTGGGGGGGTTGGGCCTTAAGCATAGGTTCACACTACAGCGGTGCGGTAAATCCCATGTGATTCGCACAGGAACCGCACTGCATTCCTATACAAATCACATGCGATTTGTATGCGGTGCGACTGGAGCCATACATTTTGTATGGCTCTATTCACACCACACCCAAAACGCGCAGGACCCTTTTTTGCTCCGCACTAGAATCGGATCACATGGGTATTCACACCTATGTGATCCAATTCTGCACATCACACTGCGTTTTGCGGACCGATGTCGGGGTGTTAACATAACATACACACCCGCATTGGTTCGTATGAACGGGGTGCGATTTGTGATGCGGTGTGGAATTCGCACTGAAAAAAACGCTGCAAATTCCGCACCGCATCAGTGTGAACCAGGGCTAAAATTAAAGAAAGAGAAAATTAAAAGGAGAAACAAGAGCAATTGTGCGTTTGTTACATAATGTGTGCAGCTTAACAAATCACTTTTCACAGTTGTACAGGTTTTGCAGTGTTCACCTTCTTCTGATTGTTTCATTTTCTGCTAGAAAAAATGAAACTGCATAAAACATAGCTTCACCATTTCAAAAGGCACAGCTCCCCCTGGTGACAGATCAAGGCTATGGTGGGACAAAACCACAGAACTGCTCTCCAAGGGAACCTGTTTCTGTATCCCTTGACGAGGAGGGGGGTGAGGAGACATAATACAGCTCCCTTCTGTGTAAATAACAATTAAAGAAAAAAAAAAAAAAAAAACTATGCAGCTGCTAATGCATATAATGCCAATAACCAGGGGCGGACTGATCATTTGGAAACTCGGGCACTGCCCGAGGGCCCGGGGTCAGTTAGTCAGTAGGGGGCCACATGAGATGCCCATGGTAACTTTCTCATAGGCATTTTTTTTGAGTTTGGGCAAGGACAGAGGGGCCCCATGATCCCCTATTGCCGGGGGTCCCCATGAGTTGTCAGTCCACCCCTGCCAATAACTTGCCTGTTGCAGTACATGATGCTGCAGGGCCATGCTCTAAGGCTAGGATCACACCTATGCAGTTTGCGTTTGATCCATTTCTGCAGTGCATTTTTTTTTGTTGCTAGGCAGATTTAAAATGTAAAACGAATCAAAAACGCGGCAAAGGCTAGGATCACACCTATGCAGTTTGCGTTTGATCCGTTTCTGCAGTGCGTTTTTTTTTTGTTGCTAGGCAGATTTAAAACGCATAAAGAACAAAAATGCATAAAAACCATACTACATGCTTTTCTGCAGCATTTCCATTAAAGTCTATAGAACCAAAAACGCGTTTAAAAAAAGTCTCTGGGCCTTTCCAAAAAACGCACCAGGTGAAAACGCGGAGATGCGAACCTGTCCCATAGGAAATCATGTTAAATGGACTGTAGTGCGGTTTCTGGAAAACGCTTATGTGTGAACCTAGGGTAAACCAGGGGTCAGGCAGTGGCTGCCTCAGCTGTGACAGATTCCCTTAATGTCAGTCTTTAGTTGATCAAGTCTTTCAAGAGAACTAGGAAACAAGCCTGAAGCACACAATGCCGGCTATTCCTGTCTGTTCACCTGTTCCCCTAATCTTCCCTTAATTTTGTTTCCAGGCTTCAGGCACACAGCATTTTGTCATCTAGGCACCAGCCTCTCTGATGAGCAAGTACTGAATGTGAGAAAGGTGGAGCAGCAAAACATGGACACACCCTACTCATGTAATTTGAAGGCACTTGTCTTACTTAAATGTCTAAAGACAAGAGAGGCTTGAGTTACTCATGGTGACCAGGTTAACTCTTTCATTTTCAAATCTGCCCAGGAACAAGAGTGGACTAGAACAGATTACTTGCTATAGGACAATGCAGACAGTTCCTGATATGAGAAACTTTGGGGGAGGTTTACTAAAGCTGGTGCACTCTGAATCTGGTGCAGATCTGCATTGTAGCCAATCAGCTTTCAACTTCAGCTTGTTCAATTAAGATTTGGAAATAAAACCTGAAAGCCGATTGGTTTCTGTGCAGAGCTGCACCAGATTTTGCACACTTCAGTCTTAGTAAATAACCCACTTTAGGTCCAGCATAACAAACTATAGGCACTTGTTATCTTAAAGTACTTCTGATCATGCAGGCCAAAACCAACAAGTTAACTTAAAGCCTTCCTACACAGCATCTTACACTTACAGTACTTTCCCTTTAACACCCTTTAGCTTTGTTCAATGCCGGGGGTGAGGAGCAGAAACGTTGAGTAAGTTACAAGTTGGTCCCAGTTGAACGGGAAGCGGCGCTGTCATGTGGGAGGAAAGGAAGTGAGTGACATGCTCTCTCATACCCAGGAAAAAATAAAAGGGTAATTCTTTTCAGTCCTTGCAATAAAACAGCTCAGGAGAGAAGAGAGGATAGTGCAGGAGGAAGGCTGCCATTAACCAATTGCTTTGCTCTGCATGTATACAGCACAGGTTCTTTTTAACACTACATAACCACCTTTTTGATGGTTGTGTTAATTTAAAAAAAAAAAAAAATTACACAAAAGCAATCTAGATAATGTATGAATGGTCCAGAGCCTAGGCTTGCCTTTTCTGAAACAAAATGTATACATCTAACAAATAATTTAACTAAGAACTAAAATCTCGACGTGAAGTCAAATAGTAGGTTACGCCTATGTCCTGTTTAAAGTGTACCTGTCACCTACAGGGAAAGGGGGCAGACATGTTGCAGGTCAAATGGATATGCAACCTATCAATAAATGTAAAACTGCTGACCTTACTGCAGTGTGCATGCTTGTAGGTTGCACTCTCTCTGGAATACTGTTTAAACTGGCTATACCCATTATATAGGTGAGACAGGTACACTTTTGGTGGCCATAAACACTTAAAAAAAAATGACTGATTTAATTTCTGATTGATCTCTCCAGATTAGGAACAATCAATCCATAGTCGACAACCCATTCAAATGATATGACAAATGGGGAAGTGGATTTCGAACAATAGTCAGAATATACCATTGTAAGTCTAATCTCCAATTTCCCCATGCAATCTCATAACTTGATCGATCGAAATGTGATCAAAATTATGCCCACAGCCTCTCAACTCTGTCGATCGATGCAGCGTGATCAATTTTCCGCTCTGGCGAATTGATTACGTTTGCTCAAATCCAATCCAAATGGAGCCTAAAATTATCGGAAGGGAAGTTATGGCTATTCAACTGTTTTTTATGGAATTGCGTGTTAATTGGATAGTAAAATCGAAGCGTGTGTGGCCACCATTAAGTAACACCCTAAAAGATGATTAGGGATTAGGTTTACCCTTCAGTGTTTGCAGAACAATAAAACATTATTACACATTTAAAATTAAAATAGAGTCCTCTGTCTCATAAAGAGAACAGTCATTTCAGCAGCATAAATGCCATGTTAAGGCTGCCAGGGGCCTAGTTAATTAGTGTACAGCCTCAGGGATTAGAGAAAAATATGGCTCATTCCATTGTCACATCACAACTCCTTTATCCATTTGAGAAGCTGAGGAACATAATATGTGATGATGATGTCTGCACCTGTAAAAGAAAAAAAAGGATATATGTTTGTGAACATCTTGCATACTAGAACATATTGCAAAGAAAAAGAATGCCCGCACATTGGGTTAGAGGCAAATGGGGACATTACTGAAAATTTCTCAGCCAGGATAAGGTGGTATGAAGTTGCCCTTACCTGCTCTGCGGAATCCGGTCATAGCTTCCAATACTGCCACCTTCAGGTCAAAAGCCCCAGCCTTTGCGCCATGCCAAAGCATGGCGTATTCCCCGGATACATGATACACAGCCAGCGGGAGGTCAGGGTGCTGAAAAATATCAACGGAAAAAGTGACACAAATCATTGCATTACAGGATGACGTAATATTTATATGTTCACAATACCCTATACCACTTATAGCACCGCTCAAGGTGCTATGGTAGATCTGGTGTCTCACAGTAGCACAGACACTTTTTGGCTTGATGCTGAATATGGGCAGGGATGAATAACGTAGAGTTCCTACTACATCATGAGGTGTGAGAAACAGCACACACCACTAGTTTAACAGGTGAAAAGAAATATGTGTTTGTGCTACTGCAGAGGGGCCCTGTGATACAGTGGGAACCCTACATTATTCATCCCTGCCCATATTCAGCATTAAGCCAAAAAGTGTCTGTGCTACTGCAGAGGGGCCCTGTGAGACAGTGGGAACCCTACATTATTCATCCCTGCCCATATTCAGCATTAAGCCAAAAAGTGTCTGTGCTACTGCAGAGGGGCCCTGTGAGACAGTGGGAACCCTACATTATTCATCCCTGCCCATATTCAGCATCAAGCCAAAAAGTGTCTGTGCTACTGCAGAGGGGCCCTGTGAGACAGTGGGAACCCTACATTATTCATCCCTGCCCATATTCAGCATCAAGCCAAAAAGTGTATGTGCTACTGTAGAGGGGTCCTGTGAGACAGTGGGAACCCCACACTATTCCCCCTTGCCCCATATTCAACATTAAGCCAAAAAGTGTTCATTTGCTCTGCTCATGCAGGACAAAGCAACAGACTCACTTTAGTCTTCCCCAGCAGCATGTACCTATCTTACTTTTGCTCCCCCACCCCTTGATTCACCCAAAAGAAAGCCCTGTGTCAGCTACCAGTTGCAGGAGTTGTAGCTTATCCATAGATTGAGCAATTGGCCCCACACTGTCACATGGAGCAAATTACATACCTGGAAGTAATATATTGAGGAGGATTTACCAAAACTAGAGCACCAGAATCTGGTGCAACTGTACATGGTAGCCAATCAGCTTATAACTTCATCTTGTTCAATTAAGCTTTGTCAATAAAACCTGGAAGCGGATTGGTTTCTATGCAGCAGAGCTGCAGCAGATTTTGCCCCATGCAGTTTTAGTAAAAAAATACCCCAATTGTCTTTGGCTCCAAGACCTGAGCAAAGCAGAGCGTGAATAAAGGAAAGGAGAGTATATTGTTGCTGGGGAGGGGTGTTGGTTCATTCGAAAGTCCAAAAACCTATTTTAATTTCAAATTGAACAAGAACGGATTAGATGCTCCTACTTACCTTGTCCTTCACTTCTTTCACCAGATCTAGATATGGCATTCCTGGCTTCACCATTAACATGTCTGCTCCTTCACGTACGTCACGGTCCTGTGCAGACACATCACATAACGGCATCATGCATTAATATAGCAGAAATTAAATCAAGCAGAAATGCTTACTCTAATGTGTATAGAAAAACAATATAGGATAAAGTACTATCTTCTGTAAACTTTAAACATGAGAAATGTGGTCAGTGACAACATAAACGCACAAGATTGCAGGATGACTGCATTTTAAATGGATAGAGAATTCAAAAGTGGCGAATATAATAATAATATAACCAATTCCTTAAAAAGAAGACACATTCTATAAAAACTGAAAGGAGGAAAGCATTAAAAGGGAAATTTGAAAGAAATATGATAATTGCTAATGCTAACCTGTTCTAAAAAACTTTTATCTGGCTGTCAAGTTGATATGGTCAGTCACTGACCCTAAGCAAGTAGAGCTTATTGAACTGTTCAAACCTACTCCATCAACATGACAGCCAGGCAACTAGCATCTTCCACAGACTTAAGCATTGGCCTCCTTTATTTACTAAAGCTGGAGAGTGCAGCATCAGGCTCACTTCTGTGGAGAACCCATTCAGCTTGCTGACTGGTTCCTCTCCAGAAGCTGATTGGTTTCCATGCAGAAGTGAGCCTGATTTTGCACTCTCCAGCTTTAGTAAATAAATCCCCAAGAGACACATAGTAGAGCTCACCACACGTTACGATCTGACTGTACAATCTCATTTAGATCTACTGTGAACTATAGAGTACAGCCTATCTAATGGGATAGAGATAACTGGATGGTTTAGGTAAGTCCTTATATTACAGAGCTTACATAGTATAGGCACTGTAATTTGTATGGTAGGCTTAAGGTAGATGGAGACTGTGACAGCTGGATCTGTGATGTCTGCATCAGTAGTTATATTCAGACAGATTAGAAGAGTTCCCTGGTACAATCTGGCTCTCTATATTGTAACCGGGATGTGTGGCGTCTGCATTTTCAGTTAAATTTTAACAGTTTGTTGAGACTCTTATAAACCGTGTAGATATGTAGAGAAATCATTTACAGGAAACATCAAAGTCTATACCAACACAGGATTGTATAAAATAATAGGAAATGTTCACTGCTTCATCCTTACCACCGCCCTGCTGGCCAGTCCTCTTGCTCCAGGAGGCAGCTGGTAACATTTGCGGTCACCAAAAGCAGGTTTAGATTGGGCTGCATCTCTGCAATAGTAAAGTCAATTTAAAAAATTATAATTTTTTTTTTTACTTCGAGGAAAAAAACTCCTATTAGGTCCTAATAAAAAATAACTCCAACCAAAAGGGAAGTCAGAATGGAAAGGAGCCCTTGTTAAAAAGACTACATCTATAGATACCAGACAACGTCTTATGCATATATGACACTCAAATAGTGAGATCTCCTTGCCATAACTACTGGCTCTGTACTTGTCCACCTGAAGGTTTTATGTGTTCCAGCTCCTCTTGTTGCATTCTCCATGATATAAAGTAAAACTCCAACAGGGTTGGCGAGAACCCTTCATAATGGCCACAGCATCAAGGACTCACCAATAGAGCCCCCAAGACATATAAGAAGCTGTTACGTGGTTTCACGCTCCAGCATCAACCAAACACTGAAGTTTAAAAGTGGAACTTTAACCATAGCAACTTAATAAAAAAATAATGTTCTTGAGCATTGCTCTTGTTTTGTCTTGCCATAGGCTGCCATTTTGCTGAAGCCCAGAGTCCTGAGCAGCAGTAAATCTTTAGGCTACATGTGTCAAACACAAGGCCCATGGGTCGAATCCAGCCCACCAGGCCATTTCATGTGGTCCTTACACCTCTTCTGCAGCTTCAGCTCATCTCTGCCCCCCTCAACCCTCTGTCTCAGCAGAGAGGACGAGAGAACACCTACTATCCTACTACAGATCCTGCACCTCTCTGTGCAGCTGCAGCGTCGCCTCATCTCCACCTGCCCCGATCTCAGCAGTCAGCAGATTTCAGCAGCTGACTCCAGCCCTCCTCTGATCCTCCTCCAGACCCTGAACTTTCTGCTTCCTAGCTCTGCCCCCAGCTTCTTCCCGACAGCAGCACAAGGTAAGGGAGATGCTCTGATGTAAGGGGGCATAGGGCATTCTGAACATCTAGTCTTACAGATACAGCTGGCTCTTTGAGGGCAACCATAATGCTGATGTAGCCCGCAATGAAACAGAGGTGGACATCCCTGCTTTGAGCGGTCAGCAGATCGGCCTCCAAAATTCAAACTAATGTCTAAAAATGGAGAGCAACTGATCATGTGCAGAGCAGGGTAAGACAGTGTATAACTGGGTTTTAAACAGTGTAGGCACTTATTTTTAATGTTTTACATTTAGGGGCCAGCTTGACGTGAACTAGCAGGAGTTAATTTTGACTAAAGTTCAACTTTAAGTGGACTGACCCTTTACTTCTGAACTACAAGAAAACAGAGAAATTTACAGATTAAATACATGTAGGTTTATCTTTCTTTTTAAACCTGTTGAGGGGTTTAAAGCCCTGGCAGCCACTGCTGTGGTCTACATACTTCTTGAGTCACCTCCCTGGCCACTGGACAGCATTGACGATGCCAATTCATTGTCCAATAAGTAGTCTGAAGGCAGAAGTAACAGGGGGAGCCGAACAGCTGAAACAAATGCTAGTTTCACACCCCCCCCCCTTGCCTGGCTGTGCAGTGGCAGGAGTTGTGTATACCACAAGACCATCTGAATTGAATTATAGATCTTTTGTGAACTTATAAGACATGTATGTAAACTGTTCACTTAGCCAATTGCATAGAGTTTGCCTGGAGGAACAGACTAGGAAACAATAAAAGGACCACCCCACAAAGAAATACCTTTTCTGAAACTAGCATAGTGTTGTTCAGCATTACGTAAATTCGATGCAGTACAGTGTACACAAGAAAATAAACAAGCATGCAGGAAACTAGATATAAATATAATGACAGATCTAAAAAGGAACAGAACACTATTGATTTTTTTTCCAAATGGGATTCTCTAAATAGCCTGGTACACAATGATCAGACTAAGTCTAAAGTTCATATATTTTACATAAATCATTAACCCATTCTAGATGGAGAAATTAGGTTTTTAAAAATCAGTTTTCCATGCAGAGTTTCCAGTTATATACAGTATCTCCCAGAAGTGAGACATTAATGGCTGTGTGTTGAGTTATTTTTAAGGGGACAGCACATTTACACTGTTATACAAGCTGTACACTCAGTACGTCACATTGTAGCAAAGTGTCATTTCTTCAGTGTTGTCACATAAAAAGATAGAATAAAATATTTACAAAAATGTGAGGGGTGTACTCACTTCTGGGAGATACTGTATGTATATAGCAGCAGCTAATATAGTATTTGGTCCCTAGATATGCAGGTGCTTACTAGTACTGCACAATAACAGCATTACTGCTCCTCTTGGAGAATATCTGTGAAGTGTGATCAGACTAACTAAAAAAACAGAGCAGCGTCCAAGGTGTCACTACATTTATCACATCAATCATTCAGCAACTATAGGGGTTTCACAATTATGTGTTAAAGACTGTGCAGATCTGCATAGTTATGAAAACCAGAAACACCAAAAGGAGGAAGGAAGAGGAGGAAGAAGAGAAGGAAGAGGAGGAGGGAGGAGGAGGAAATTTTCTGAATCTCCACACTTAATTTTATTCCCCTCTTTTTGGATTATTTATTCGGATTCTCTCCCTCTCAGTGCAGAAACCGCAGTCCCTGTGAACGCTGTTCTGTCTCTTGGTTTAGCTCAGTGCTGATAAAGAATGCTTAGGTGATGTCAGCCTTCCATGAAAGAATATTTTTTGTTAACTGACAGTTTCACTTCTACCAGCAGCATATACAGTGTCAGTTGGCTCTGAGCTCAGGCAGGGGATGAGTCAGCCTCTATGAGCAGTCACAGCCTGACAAATTACTGTCATTTCCACTCTGAAAGGAACAGAATACAAGTGAACAACAGTACATAGATCTATCCCTTAAAACATAAGACCACACAGTAACAACTGAGGCCCCATTCACATTATCATGTTGCAGGAACGAGTGCTCCCACTACGCGATTTTGACAGCGCAATTTTCATGTGTTTCTGCATGTCACATAGGGCAAGTCCATTCTCTTGCTTTTGGCTGCCCTATGCGCGCTTGTGAAGCAAAAAGAGGCTCCTACTTCTTTTCGGGCGACAAACCTCGTGTGTTTTCAAAGGAGCAGTTTGCATCGACTGTCCCATGATCCTGGCAAGCAACAATCGTGGTAAAAGTTCATCGCGTTTGGGGTTCCATTGAAGGATAATTGCACCCAAATGCGCACCTTGCTTTGTGCAGAGAATGCCACAGGATTTGGAAATGTGGGCAGAATCGCTGTGATTCTACCCGTGACTCCGAATCATGAAGTGTGAATGGAGCCTTACTAGTGGACTAATTAGTAGTAGAGTTACTTACAAATGTCTATTCCTGATTACCAACTTTAAAACAAAAAAACAGCTGGCAGAAAGCTGCGAAACTTTAGATATGGAGCTAATCTTACCTGAATGGGCCATAGAAACAGGAGGCAAATTTGGCACTGTAACTCAAGACTGAAACCTGAGGTTAAAAAAAACACCCAACAAAAAAAACCGAAAATCATTAACACCATCAATAACTATGCCATACAACAGGTATATTTTATCAGGCGCTCACGTCTGGCCTAGAATTGCAGCATACTAAACTCAGCTCACTTGTTCAGGATGAACATGATTACCTACGGCCAATCCTGGTGCGTGCTTGACATATCCAGCACTGGAACACAACAGCAGCACCAATAAGTACATGAAGATGTCATCATCTCAGTTCTGTGGAACATTATGATTTGGTAATGAGTTTTGGTGATGAGAACGGGGGTGGGGAATTATTTTTTTTTTTCCAAAAAAAATTTTATATTGACACTTTAATGAGGTGTAAGTAAATGGAGAACAAAAAACTCATGCTGCTGCAGGTATGAAATACAGGCACCTATAGGTGCACATAACTGTACAGCTGCCAAAACCTTCCAATTGTAGACAAATCCTGGGTTGTTTTGATGGTCAAAGTTACAAAAATTGCTGCTAGTGTCAGAATTGGCAACAAGTCCTGCTCCCATGCATTACTATTGGACCATCTCTGGCTAATAGGAATGTGCAGAAAAAGGGGCCCGATTAGGAACTTCCAAAACGTTGTCCGAGATTCAGACATGATGAGAGGATTTGAGAGGCTGCTGTATGTATGATTCATAATTTAAAAGTTTTCCCAAAACTCTTTATTGTAAAATTTCAGCCAAAACTTTTTTTTCTTGGTTTTGAAAAGTTATGCTAGAGGTGCATGTACTTTATATCTACAGTGGGGATCGAAAGTTTGGGCACCCCAGCTAAAAAATTGTATTAATGTGCATAAAGAAGCCAAGGAAAGATGGAAAAATCTCCAAAAGGCATCAAATTACAGATTAGACATTCTTATAATATGTCAACAAAAGTTAGATTTTATTTCCATCATTTACACTTTCAAAATAACAGAAAACAAAAAAAAATGAATGGCGTCTGCAAAAGTTTTGGGCACCCTGCAGAGTCAATATCTTGTACTGCCACCCTTGGCAAGTATCACAGCTTGTAAATGCTTTTTGTAGCCAGCCAAGAGTCTTTCAATTCTTGTTTGAGGTATCTTTGCCCATTCTTCCTTACAAAAGTCTTCCAGTTCTTTGAGATTTCTGGGCTGTCTGTCACGCACTGCTCTTTTAAGGTCTATCCATAGATTTTCAATTATGTTGAGGTCAGGAGATTGTGAAGGCCATGGCAAAACCTTCAGTTTACGGCCTCTTGATGTAATCCCCTGTGGATTTCGAGGTGTGTTTAGGATCATTATCCATTTGTAGAAGCCATCCTCTCTTTAACTTCAGCTTTTTCACAGATGGCATCAAGTTACCATCCAAAATTTGCTGAAATTTTATTGAATCCATTTTTCCTTCTACTCGTGAGATGTTCCCTGTGCCACTGGCTGCAACACAACCCCAAAGCATGATTGATCCAACCCCATGCTTAACAGTTGGACAGAGGTTCTTTTCATTAAATTCTGTGCCCCTTCTTCTCCAAACGTACCTTTGCTCATTCCGGCCAAAAAGTTCAATTTTAACCTCATCGGTCCACAGAACTTGTTTCCAAAATGCATCAGGCTTGTCTATATGTTCATTTGCAAAATGCATCAGGCTTGTCTATATGTTCATTTGCAAAGTTCAAACGATGATTTTTGTGGTTAGGACGTAGAAGAGGTTTTCTTATGATGACTCTTCCGTGAAGACCATATTTGTACCAGTATCTCTTTATAGTGGAATAGTGTACCACAACTCCAGTGTCTGCCAGATCTTTCTGGAGGGATCGTGCAGTCAAACGTGGGTTTTGAATTGTTTTTCTCACAATCCTGCGAGCTGTTCTGTCTGATATTTTTCTTGGTCTTCCAGATCTTGCTTTAACTTCCACTGTTCCTGATGACTGCCATTTCTTAATTACATTCCAAACAGAGGATATTGACATCTGAAAACGCTTTGCTATCTTCTTATAGCCTTCTCCAGCTTTGTGAGCGTCAACTATTTTCAGTTTCAGTTTTCTAGACAACTGCTTAGAAGAACCCATGGTGCTCATTGTTGGGGCAAGGTCAGATGAGTCTGGGCATTTAAAACCTTTGAGCTTTACATCACTTGGTCTTCCCAGACGATGATTGAGAACAATCCATGACACTGGCAGGTCTCAGCTTGGCAAAGGGGGTAGTGCATGCTATAAATTCTGCAGGGTGCCCAAACCTTTGCAGACGCCATTTTTTTGTTTTCTGTTATTTTGAAAGTGCAAATGATGGAAATAAAATCTAACTTTTGTTGACATATTATAAGAATGTCTAATCTGTAATTTGATGCCTTTTGGAGATTTTTCCATCTTTCCTTGGCTTCTTTATGCACATTAATACAAATATTTAGCTGGGGTGCCCAAACTTTCGATCCCCACTGTATATCTGCAGCATTTATTTATTTTAATTCCAGTGAGCGTGTATAAGAAGTATAGCTGCTGATTAAACAAGGAGGGAGAAGCAGCAGAACGATAAGCTCATCCTTCTGCTCACAGTGCATTCTTTACCTGTTCCTCACCACCACCAGCACCACCACCACCACCACCACCACATATGCACATATGGTGCTGTGCAGATCTGTAAAAACTGGATATCAAGACCTATTTGAGTATTTATGCTACTGCCATGTATGCAATCTTTAAAATAAATACATACATGGATTAAATTTGTTTTTTTTTGTACCTGGATGGAATTCAGTCTTGAGCATTTAACACACATATACAGTACAAATACACCATTTTCATAAGCTTATAGAGTGTAAAATTAACATCTCACCTTGTTTCCCAGATCATTGGATATTAAAGCCTTCTTAATTGCACCAATCCGGCCATCCATCATATCAGAGGGTGCCACAATGTGACATCCTGCCAAAACACAAAACAGCTTGCATTTCCATTTAAGATTTCATCAAGGTGTAAACAAATTAGAGAAAGATGGTGATTTTGGAGCAACCGATCAATTAGATTAAAGCTTTAATTTCTCAACCGACATGAGCAACAGACTCTTCTTCATTCTAAGTTCATCCAACACTAACATTTCAGTTTTGGGTGTGCATGGCTTGTAATCATTGGGAGTTATTTACTAAAACTGCTCGGTGCAAAATCTGGTGAAGCTCTGCAAAGAAACCAAACAGCTTCCAGGCTGTATTATCCATGCTTAATTGAACTAGTTAGAAGCTGACTGGCACAGCTGCACAAAATTCTGAGTTCTCCAGTTTTAGTAAATCTCCCCCATTGTCTGAGATATAAAAAGTGATGGGAATTTCAAAACGTTACAGATTCTAATGTTACAGGATACGGGGGGAAAATCTTTCAATGAGACACCTTTCCCTTGCTTGCAAGAGATTTCCTCTTACTTCCTTTTATGTCTCTGATAAAGGAAACAATATCTCCCCAACAAGACACAAGACAGAAAAAAAAAATCTTAGCCATTTCCTACTCTATCAAAAACAAAACAAAAATGTTTTGTCTAATACATGTTAAATATTATCTTCACAAAACAAACCTAATCATTTGAGCTGTCCTCAATGTGAATGTCCCAAAAAACGTGACTTATTTAGCAGAACCTTATGAATAATGTACCTGCACGAGCGTAAGCCAGAGCCACTTCTGCCAGCCGCTGACAACTGGTCTCATTCTGAATGCTGCCATCTTCCCGCAGGATTCCTGCCATACAGAACATTCATCAATCAGCAGATTTTACAATGAGATAAGGAACAATGGAGGAAACGGGACAAATGGATCTGAAAATGGTGCTGTAGTCAGAAACCACAGATATTACCTCTACTCTGATATTAAAATAATTTGTTGTTGGTTAATTCAGCAGGATTTTTTCAGTGCTTCTGGGAAGATTTAATCCCTCTGTAGTTCGCAACCTCCCCCCATGCTCTAATGTGTGTGAGCAGGAGTGTTGAGGTGGTGTAAATAGGGATCCTGGCAAACAAAAGGTGTTTAAGCAGCAGTACAGCCCATTTCCCAGATCTCCATCACCTTTGGACTACCGGCATATATGTTCTTTAAATACCCTCAACTACGGCACGCTGTGAGAGCTCAATACCCCCAGATGCCTATCCTCCAGACTGATCCCATTGAAGAAGTGATGGTTCCAGGAGTCTTGGCGAAACCTCTCTTGACCCTGTATGGGGCGCTTCTTAATGTTAATTCTCTGAAACTTGAGCGTATATGGGAAAGGTGGTGAACTGATATCACAACGTTAGACAAGACAGACTGAGAGGATAGTCTGGAAAGGGGTCTTAAACTGGTCATCTCCTCCAGGGATAAACTGATTCAGGTCAAATTCCTCCATATAATTTACTACACCCCTCTGAGACTTTATACAATCTACCCTGATCGGGACCCGTTTGTCCTCGTTGTCATGTACACCCAGGGACCTTTTATCATATGTTTTGGTCATGCCCTGTGATTATGGCCTATCGTTCTGAGGTGTTTGCTAAGATAAACCTCCGGTTACATTTGTCACTACCTTCCTCGCCGGAGCTGGCCCTATTGGATATTCATGAGGATGACCAACGATCACACCATGCTAAACTTCTAATTTCATACGTATTTTATGCTAAAAAAGAGATATTGTTTAAATGGACCTCCCCAGCTCCTCCAGACTTTTTGGCCTTGTAGGCTCTGGTGGATTCTGCTCTACCAATGTATAAACTTACAGTGAGGAACAGAAGTATTTGAACACCCTGCGATTTTGCAAGTTCTCCCACTTAGAAATCATGGAGGGATCTGAAATTCACATTGTAGGTGCATTCCCACTCTGAGAGACAGAATTAAAAAAAAAAAATTCAGGAAATCACATTGTATGATTTTTAAAGAATTTATTTGTCTTGCACTGCTGAACATAAGTATTTGAACACCTGAGAAAATCAGTGTTAATATTTGGTACAGAAGCCTTTGTTTGCAATTACAGAGGTCAAATGTTTCCTGTAGTTCTTGACCAGGTTTGCACACACTGCAACAGGGATTTTGGCCCACACTCCTCCACACAGATCTCCTCTAGATCTGTCAGGTTTCGGGGCTGTCGCTCAGCAACACGGAGTTTCAGCTCCCTCCAAAGATGTTCTATTGGATTTAGGTCTGGAGACTGGCTAGGCCACTCCAGAACCTTGATATGCTTCTTACGGAGCCACTCCTTGGTTATCCTGGCTGTGTGCTTCGGGTCGTTGTCATGTTGGAAGACCCATCTTCAATGCTCTAACTGAGGGAAGGAGGTTGTTGCTCAAAATCTCACAATAAATGGCCCCATTCATCCCCCCAAAGCATGATGTTACAACCCCCATGCTTCACAGTAGGGATGGTGTCCTTGGGATGCAACTCATCCTTTTTCCTCCAAACACGACGAGTGAAGTTTAGACCAAAAAGTTCTACTTTGGTCACATCTGACCACATGACTTTCTCCCCATGCCTCCTCTGGATCATCCAGATGGTCATTGGCAAACTTCAGAAGGGCCTGGACATGTGATGACTTGAGCAGGGAACCTTCCGTGCAATGCATGATTTGAAACCATGACGGCGTAGTGTTCTACTGACAGTGACCTTTGAAACTGTGGTCCCCAGCTCTCTTCATGTCATTGACCAGCTCCTCCCTTGTAGTTCTGGGCGGATTCCTCACCTTTCTTATTATCAGTGATACCCCAAGAGGTGAGATCTTGCATGGAGCCCCAGTCCAAGGGAGACTGACAGTCGTCTTTAGCCTCTTCCATTTTCTAACAATTGCTCCAACAGTTGATCTATTTTCACCAAGCTGCTTGGCAATTGCCCCGTAGCCCTTTCCAACCTTGCGGAGGTCCACAATTTTGTCTCTGGTGTCTTTTGATAGCTCTTTGGTCTTGCCCATGGTAGTAGTTGGCGTCTGACTGATTGTGGGGTAGACAGGTGTCTTTAAAGAGCTCAGACAGGTGCTACTAAGTTAGATTAATGAGTGTAGAGGTTGACTTTTTAAAGGCACAGTAACAGGTCTTTGAGAGACAGAATTCTTGCTGTTTCTTAGGTGTTCAAATACTTATGTTCAGCAGTGCAAGACAAATAAATTCTTTATAAATCACACAATGTGATTTCCTGAATTTTTTTTTTAATTCTGTCTCTCAGAGTGGGAATGCACCTACAATGTGAATTTCAGATCCCTCCATGATTTCTAAGTGGGAGAACTTGCAAAATCGCAGGGTGTTCAAATACTTCTGTTCCTCACTGTACTTATATTAACTGGGGGTGTCCTTGGATGTATGATAAAATGTGGGCTTTATGGTGGGAGTTTGGAATTACTAATGATTTTTTGTACCTATCTCTGTACTTTGCTTATGTGAATCATCTACAGCAGGCTGTTTTAACATTGTACCATGTCGTTCTTTGTATATATATGTTGTATTGTATGTTTGGTGTTAATAAAGCACTCTGAAGATAAAATAAAAAAAAAAAAAAAAAAAAAAAACCCCAGTAGTACAGCTAGATACCTAATGCCAGAATAACAATTTAGAGGGACTAAGCAGTTGAGCTGCAACCAATAGCGAATTTACTTAAGTGTTGATTTGTGGTAATGGTGACATGTGCCCCAAAGTTTAAATATTAATGACAGTTTCACTGTGCAGTCCCTGAATGCTTACCACAGTGCCCATGGGAGGTGTATGGACACAAACACACATCACAAGCGATCAGTAAATCTGGGAAAACAGAACGAATCTTCCGGATGGCCAGAATAGCAGGAGTGTCATCTGAGTCAGCTGCAGAGCCCCGGTCATCCTATGTACACATGACACTGGTCAATGCAATTCTACTGTATTACTAACAGAAGGTGCACCTAAAGCCTAAATCCAGCCATTTTTTTTAAATTTACTTTAAGAATTGAATTTCTGCCTGTGACCCCATTTGTGGGGTTTAATCTCACTTCCCGTGCCTGTGACACCTGGACAAAAAATGGGGGAAGCAGATTGCACAGACAGCAATAATAACACTGTCAAATTATCTAACTCGTCCTCACTCTACAAAAAAAATGCCTATATTAATGCATGTTTGGAGGTGTGTATTTATTATAAATATAGTGTGGTATTAATGATTTGATGGGTGCGCAACACTTTTTTGTTGGGTCAATGTTGATGGTGTGAGAATACATACCAGTGAGGGCAGCAAAAAAATATTTTAGGAAATATTATTTCTACAATTATTGGTTAGGATTGCATTGAGGACACTTTAAGATTGTTCTTGCTTGAAAAATGTGTTTTTGCTTTTTGTTTATCATTCTAAATTTAAGTCTTTAGATTTTTCCCACCTTTGTGATTCTGCTGGGGACACCAAAGATCAGGATGCACTTCAGGCCATCATCCACCAGAGGGCGCAGCATGGCTTCCATTTTGTTCACTCCGTACCTGCAGAAGGCACAGAGCAACAATCACATGACTACTGAAACCACAGCATGAGCCGTAGAACTCCATCAAACAATAATAATCTGCTTAAGGAAATGTACAGTATATTGGTTTTGTGCAGATCTTCTTTATTGTGGTTGGGACTAAAAATAAAAAACAAATTAAAAAAAAAAAAAGTTAAAATATTTATTCTTTTTACACTCTACCTAAATTCAAACATTTCCTGCTTTGGGTAAATTCAGAATGGTTGAAGGTATAGTCATTTTTTTTCTCTTGGATTGGAGGACATAAACAATGGAGTACAAGTGCAGTGACATCAATGCACTTGTGTTGGTGTGATCTGTGAATCCCTCTTCAGCGGTGGCAGATAGGACTTGTAGTCTTCCCATTTACAGATCCCTGTGCACAGCTGCGCTAATTCAAGCATCACATTCCTGAAGGGAGACATACCCCACAATTCAGGTAAGTCTGAGGGTCAGGGGTAGGGAATGTGACCATGTTTCATGTTACACCCTAAATATAAGTGTAACATGAAATGATATCCAAAAGTGGACTATGCCTTTAAATCCCTGCCAGGGTTTTTGTTTCCTTTTTTTTTTTTTATTGCTGTCTGTGTCTGATTGAGGGGATTTCCCTTCATTTCCTGTCTGAAAAACGTAACAGGACATGAGAGCAAAACTTTTTGGAATGAGGGGATTTCCTATCTTAGACAGATGTCATGAGTACAGGTTTCCCTTTTTGAAGATTTTCTCTTAAACACCTTTTAAGTTGACAACCATAAAACGTTAGATTTCCCTTCACTGCCTGTAATGAGGACAATGCTTATCAGGACAAACTGAAAGGGTGTATCTCCCCAGCAGGAACACAGACTGAAGCAAAAACCTGATAGGGGTTCTAACCCTTTCCTACCCAAAAACGAAAGAAAGAATGTTTTGCCTAGAGATGCACTTTAAAAGCAAAACTTCACCTAAAAAGAGAACTTCTGCTTTATGTCAACTCCCCTCTTCTACTTTTGCCACTTTTTGTTTTTTTTGGGGGGGAGCAGGTAGCCGCTTTCACTTCCACTTGAATGGCTTGGCAATTTCACTAAAAGTTATCCCCCACAACTTCCTGGGACACGTCACAGGTTCAAGAAGCCTGCGGGTTAATTCGCAAACTGCAACGATACTCATGCATGCGCAGTGGGAAGCCGCAAGGAGTCACAGCCAGCTTACCACAGTACAAAAGATGGTGGCAGGGACCCAAAGACAGGTGAAGAACCAGCCCCAGTGAGGACGGTGCTGGATCCCTGGACAGGTGAGTGTCCTTTTATTAAAAGTCAGCAGCTACAGTATTTATAGCCATTGACTTTCAATTTTTTTTTTAAAGACAAGAGCACCTCTTTATGTTAGGTATAAATAAAATATTGTACATGACTATTATGTATTCATTTATTGAGCCAGCAGATGGAGCTCTAGTCTCATTTTCACATGCTGTACAGATCCTCATGACCAAACGGTTATAAGAAGCACATTGTCTATAATAGCTCCAGTTAAATAAGGCAAGCAACCAATTGGACAGGTCCAGCTGGAAAGGAGTTAAAAGCAGACTGTCACTGCATTTGAGCACCACAAACGCTGTTTAATTCATTTTTATTATTCAAAGCAAACTTCCCCATCCATCCATGTCCCTATGCTTTATTCTGCTGAGAAACCACGTTAAAAAACACCCCCTAGCATTTCTGGCTGCAACCAACGTAAGGGCAAATGACTCATGTAGCATTTACTCACTCACAAATACTCCTGGAATGTTTGACATAATTTGCCTAGGCATGAAAACCAGGAAGTAACTGAAGAAATGTAAAAGAAAAAAAAAAGTAAAAGCAAGTAAATATGATACTTTCCTATCTATTTACCAATGCTAGCAGCATAAGGATTAAAAATAGTCACTGTTGACAGAGAGTGACGTTCCGCTTTAACTACAGGGATAGATGGGAAACAGTACAAAAACTGATAAACTTATAAAAAAAAATAAAAAAACAAAATGACTGACTCAAAACAATTAAAGCACCCCCCCCCCCCCTCCTTTGAAACTTGGGCATGTGTACACAATCTGTATTCAAATTCCTAATTTAACACTTAAATTATAGATCATAATGATAAAAAAAAATTAAACTTGTGTATGGCCACACACCCCCACAGCGGTCATGTGAGAGAAAGAAATCTGCTCCCACTGTGCATTAGGAATGTCCCCCTATCTTGCTCTACATAGGCAGCTGCAGAGGGGACAGATATATATACAGTTGTGTTCAAAATAATAGCAGTCAGGCATCACTAACCTGATCAATCACTGTTTTTGGTAGAAATGATATTTCTACATGGCAAATAATTTACTAGCAGGTGTAGCAGAGTAATAGAAATCCAACAGACCCAACAGTCATGACATGCATGCTGCTGATTCTGTGTAATTGAATCACTAATTGAAAGGGGCATGTTCAAAATAATAGCAGTGTGGAGTTCTATTAGTGAGGTCATTCATTCTTTGAAAAACAGGTGGCAATTATTGCCCTTATTTAAGGAAGGAAGGCAGCAAAAAATGTTGTACATGCTGGTTACAGTGCATTTCTCTCTGAAATTCTAAGGAAAATGGGTCATTGTTCAGAAGAACAGCGTACCTTGATTAAAAAGTTGATTGGAGAGGGGAAAACATATAAAGAAGTGCAGAAAATGATAGGCTGCTCAGCTAAAATTATCGCAAATGCTTTAAAATGGCAACCAAAACCTGAAAGACGTGGAAGAAAGCGAAAAACTACCATTCGAATGGATAGAAGAAGAGCCAAAATGGCAAGGACTCAGCCAACAATCAGCTCCAGGAAGATCAAAGAAGGTCTAAAGTTACCTGTGAGTACTGTTACAATTAGAAGACGCCTATGTGAAGCCAATCTATCTGCAAGAAGCCCCCGCAAAGTCCCACTGTTGAAAAAGAGACATGTGCTGAAGAGGTTACAATTTGCCAAAGAGCACATTGACTGGCCTAACGAGAAATGGCGCAACATTTTGTGGACTGATGAAAGTAAGATTGTTCTTTTTGGGTCTAGTGGCCGGAAACAGTTTGTCAGACGACCCCCAAACACTGAATTCAAGCCACAGTACACTGTGAAGACAGTGAAGCATGGTTGCACAAGCATCATGATAATGGGGATGTTTCTCATACTGCGGTGTTGGGCCTATTTATCGCATACCAGGGATCATGGATCAGTTTGAATACATCAGAATACTTGAAGAGGTCATGCTGCCTTATGCTGAAGAGGAAATGCCCTTGAAATGGGTGTTCCAACAAGACAACGACCCCAAACACACCAGTAAACCTGCAACATCTTGGTTCCAGACCAACAAGATTGACGTTATGGAGTGGCCAGCCCAATCCCCGGATCTTAATCCAATAGAAAACTTGTGGGGTGACATCAAAAGTTTCTGAGGCAAAACCAAGAAATGGAGAAGAACTGTGGAATGTAGTCCAATCATCCTGGGCTGGAATACCTGTTCACAGGTGCCAGAAGTTGGTTGACTCCATGCAACACAGATGTACAGCAGCCCTCAGAAACAGTGCTTATACAACTAAATATTCATTAAGTGATTCAAAGGAAAGCAAAATCTTCAAACATTTTTCAGATTATATAGTGAATGTTTGAGTTTGTAAAGAAGAATACAAACACTGCTATTTTTTTGAACAGTCTAATATTCACTTTTCTTCAATTTTTTTTAGAGGAACAACACAAATTTGATATATTTTTCTTCATGGTTTGATTTGGAATAGAATGTGTAGTGTTCCCAATGCATTTGTGTGTATGGAAATAAAAGCTATTAGAAGGATTTTGAGCTTTATTCACTTTTTTCAACACACTGCTATTATTTTGAACACAACTGTATATACAACATTTAATATGTCAGTTCCTGATGTACAAACTAGCATCCCACATTGTAAAATGAATGACTGTTTCTTGAGTTCTGCAATAAAATAAAGTATACCAGGATCAGCAGATGAAAGGGGCCATTATCAGGGCAGTGGCTGGATATCAGAGTAGAACAGCAGGGCTGTTGGCTCATGGGGCCTTATCTGTGACAGGGACAATGAGGGAGGTGGCTCTCTCAGTAAGGTCAGCAGATATCAAGGCACAGACAAGGGGCAGAGTGCTGAACCTGTCCCAGCTTGATCTCATATACAATAGTGCCCACTGACTACGATCCTACACACAACGGGTCACAAAACAGCATACAGAGACAAAATAGCTCTATATACAACAGTTGCAACCACAATCCTGCGCTATGGATGATCAAAACCTAAGGGTTGTGCATGCAACAGTACAATCCATCCATAGGATCATCTTTTAGATGAAAGTATTGTATCCATTCCATTGCACTAAATGTAAAGCTCAATCAATAGTTCATAATTTTCAAAAGAAATGAAATGGACAAGAAAGCCAACTGAGCTAGACCAAATTTTAACTTTTTCTTCATTGTGTTCAAGGATCACTTAAGAGCCACAGACTACTTTATCCTCATGGCTGTCACAGTGGTCACATGATCGGGAGCTCAGCCTGCTGGCTCCCAATCAGAATCAGAGACTAGGAACCAGGGCGGACTGACCATTTGGAAACTCGGGCACTGCTCGAGGGCCCGGGGTCAGTAGGGGGCCCCATGAGATGCCCCTGGTACCTATTTCATAGGCTTTTTTGAGTTTGGGCAAAGACACAGGGGCCCCATGATCCCCTATTTCCTGGGGGCCCCATGAGTTGTCAGTCCACCCCTGCTAGGAACCGTCTGTGACAGCTCAGTTACTGTGTTGAGAATGTGACAGTCTCCCAGCACAGAAACTGCAGTCACCATCGACACATATGTGCGGTGCACTAAAGCCTTCCTCCTTGCAGCTACACTATGTTACATGGTCAGCAACAGGTTAACAATCAATTAGCTCTCTGTCAAGTTACTATGGGTGACAAAAACTAATTTTCTTTCTTTTGGGAGGACCATATAACAGGGGTTGGGAGTAAATAGTACCATTTCAGTGTTGACACAAAGCTATGTAGTGGAATAAAATCCCTACAAGAGGTCTAATGGGTACATCATACAATTTAGGGGGGTTACAACTAGGTGAATCAATGATGCAGTGGGATCTGGGTGTCCTGGTACATCACAGAATGAAAGCATATCTATAGCCAATTATATTTTTACATTTGAATAGAGTGGAGCAGTGTCCTTTGAAAAAGCCCGGAGGAGCGTAACACGTCAGAAGATCGTCATCACGCTGGGCAGGGACTGGGTGCCATCTTTCTGAAGTCTAATCTGCCATTGTGAGCGTATACTGTGCTCAATACCCCATATTTCATATGTATTTTTATCCTGTGAGTGTTCTTTTAGCTTTCATCTTTGAATAAATAAGGCAGTTTACACTGTGAAGCCCCGTTATGTGATCTACATGTTTGGTACATGCTGAGGACTGGAGAGCTGGGAATTATAGCTGCATGTTGACCGTCTGGCTGCACTATAAAGTCCTAATTGACCTCCTTTTTATTGATTTATTTATTTCAGCTATTTATATAGCACCGTCAATTTACACAGCACTTTACATATATATATATTGTACATTCACATCAGTCCCTAACCCTCAAGGAGTGTACAATCTAAGGTCCATAACTTACATTCATACACATACTAGGGCCAATTTAGACAGGAGCCAATTAACCTACCAGCATGTCTTTGGAGTGTTGGAGGAAACCGGAGTACCCGAAGGAAACCCGAGTACCCGAAGGAAACCCATGCAAGCACAGGCAGAACATGCAAACTCCAGGCAGGAGGTGCCGTGGTTGGGATTTGAACCAGCGACCCTAGTACTGCTAGGCAGAAATGCTAACCATTTAGCCACTGTGCTGCCCATACCTTTTCATTAATGAGAGCGGTGTTATAAGGCGAGGAGTCATCTTCACTGTGAGCAGGTGGTCCCGGTTGTCCCGGGTGTTTTGCACAAATTTGTATACACTGAAGAATTGCTGAAGTTCACAAGCTGTTTGCCTGATCAAAATTGCTTGAAGATTTATGGGACTTTCACTTAGTTACTTCATATTATACATACGTGGCATTTAGGACTTTAATTCAGGACATATTTTTATTCACATTATTGTATTATTTTGCTGTCTCATATTTACCTTCATGTTTGTAGCGTGCAGCGCTTCACTTTTATCTGATGGATTGTTTTTTTTTATGTGTATAGTGATTGCATGTAGAAGTAGTAGCAGCTCTACTTATCTCTCTATGGTGTGATATTTTTTGTCTTATGTAAAATTTAATAGTGCAGGGATTTTTTATTTTAGAGAATATTTAATGGCATGAATGAGAGACTTATTTGTTGTTTGGTAATGCTAAAAAATATGCCTGTCTATTTTTTAAAGTAATTGTAAATGACAAGTCCACCATAAGCCCTGGTTCACATATATGCGGCCGTGCGGGCCGCGTCGTGTGCTGGCACAAGAGCTCATTGATTTGAATGGACTCCCGTGTTTCCCGTAGGGAAGAAGTCCCTGCACTTCTTCTGAAAATGCAGCCCACACGGTAACCTCAGTTCCCAGTACGGTTGCGTTTTCCAGTGCGGGCGCGTACCATTAGAGCTAATAGCACCCACCCGCGGGTCCGCATTTCTCTGTGTGGGTGGTGCGGTTGCACGGATTTTCGTGCGGATCCGCAGCGGCACCACCCGCACAGATGTGAACCTAGCCCAAAAGGAAATGCAGTCACTTCAAAAAAGCATTTTACAGTACAGGGAGGAAGCAGAATTATATGGAATGATCAATGGACCTACAAAACAATTATGCTAAAAAATTGCAAATGGCAGAAAGTTTCAAGTGATGCTGCCTAGGTATGAACTTGGTAATGTCCCTCACCGTGCTTGTCCTGGGAGACTGGCAATCACTTCAACACCATCTGGGTCATCCCTGTAAAAAAAAAAAAAAAGTACAGTTAATTAATGAGGAATGACCCACTAAAGAGACAAGCCAGACATGGAACTTGAGTGTTTTACTTACGTGATGAAGATGGGGTACATGAAATTGTGGGCATGTAGGCTGGTGGCTGATGTCTGCCAGGCTCGGAGAGTCGGATGGAAGTATCCACTGTGTAGTATGGAGGTCGCGTCCATCTTACTTGTATGGTGACTATATAAGAGAGAGAACAACTTACCTAGAAAGTAAATAAAATCACTAAGTAAATAAGAGCTTAGAAGATACAACTTTTCAGATTTTTACTTTCTTTTGCTGTCCTCTAAGAGCTTTACATTGTTCATCAAGGGCCTGGACAGTTCTGATCTTTTTTTTTATATTTCTGAACAGTATGTTCTGCAGCCTCAGAGCACTCTAACCAAGGAGTTATATCAAATAACAATCCTGACATCCCTTTGTGAGTGCATGTCTATTGACCTATCTCATCATAGCCTGCAGGAATAAACAAGGAACATGAAAAGGGTTTCCTTCATGTCAAACACAAGTGTTGCCTGTCCTTCCTGTTTCCTTCCTCAGCACTGCATACATACTTCCTCTAGATTTCCAAGGGTATGTTCTCTATAGAAATAGTGGTTAGCATTAGCTCAACCAGGTATCGGGGACAACCACCCCCCTTCCAGCTCCTCTTGTTGTATTCTAGAAAATACATTTAAAAATCCAGCGAGACAGATGGGATTCCCTACTAATGGCCACAAGTGTGCAGACACCTATAGAGATATATAAACCTGTCATGTTGTTTAGCCCTCCATCATCCACTGAACACTGACATATCAGTGTTTGTATGGACTGACCCTTTAATACGGAGTAATACAAAAGTCTGATTTTCCCAGACACTGAGAACATGTGATCATAAAGACTCATTCCGGGCAGCTGACCATCTGACAATCAAGGTTAGCAATCAAAGCTGAAGAATGGAGCTATAAAAACATTAAAGCCTAACTTTAGCCACACTTCTGTTTGTTGGGATTAGGCGTTTGATCCACTGTCAGGTTTTTGTTGCCGCTTGTGTCCTTGTTGGAGAGATAGTCTGTCATTTCCTCTCCTGGTGTCACTGCGACATGATGACAACAGAGGAGATCTATCCAATAAGGATACAGACAGCAATACAAACTTTATAGGAGGTACTTGAACCTTTTTTTTGCCCTAAAATGCTATTAAACAGGGGAGGATGGGGAGCGCTAGAATACAGTCCTAGGCTGGTATTCAAGTAATATGTCCTACATGGAAGAAAAATATATTTGAAATATATTTTTAAAATATTCTTCCCAACTATATTGACATATTTGAAATGCTACAATTTTGGGCATATTCAATATATTTCAAAATATATTCAAACGCGTAAATATATACTGTACGTTGAAAAAACGCATTTTAATTACAAAATATATGAAAAAAGATTTTTAAATTATACATTTCAAATATACTGTATTTTGCCGGCGTATGTTTCAACCCCTGAAAAACACAAATCTACATTTTTGGAATGCATTTACAAATATATGTAAAAATATTCCTTCTTTCAAATTACTTTTTTTATATGTTAAAAAAAAAATCTGAAGAATAGATTTTATTTTATTTTATTTTTAACATATAAAAAAGTAGTCTTAACACTATATTTTTACATATATTTTGTAAATGCACTTTCCCCCAAAAATGTAGGATTCGTATTTTTAAAGACATACAGTATATTTGAAATGTATTTCAAAAAATATTTTCATATATGTTTTAATAAAACCGCATTTCAACATACAGTATATTTATATATATATATATATATATATATATATAATATATATATATATATATATATATATATATATATATATATACATACACACACACACACACACATATATACATACATATATATACACACACATATATACACACATACACATACACATACATACATACATATTTATTATATGGCCAAAATTGTAGCATTTCAAATATATTTGGAAAGAATATTTTTCAAATATATTTTTCTTCCATATGGGGTGGACCAATAAAATGATATATGAGCCTGCTGGTCCTGTGCTTCACCCGCCCTCACTGCCAATATAAGCCTCACTCAAGATGGCCATGAGTGACCTGAGGAACGAGCGCGCATGCTACGAACCTGTGCCAAACGTGGAGTTCCGGTTCAGGGTAACGTCACAGCCAAGAGCCTCCCTGCGCCTCTCTGCTACCCCCTAAGCCCTGGAATCTACCAGAGCGGCGGGGACGAGGAAGAGGATTGTACAGGACTCAACCGCCGGACCGCATAAACCCACTGCACATACTTATTTTAACCCTACACTTGTGGGTGTTCTACCTATTAAATTGCCTGGTTTTAACACATCTACACTTAAGAGTGGTGCCGCTGCGCTCTCTCTCTAAAATTAAATACCATTTTTTTTTTCTTTTAACAGTTCGAGCAGCTGATCTCAAGACCTTTGTTCTGTGCATCCTGTGTGTTGTGGGCTCCCGCACGCCTTTGTTGCAGCTTCACCCATGATCCACCCACTGGTAGTCCTGTTTTCCAGGTGGCTCCTTGGTATGAAGGGTCCTATGGAGGCCCACTGAAGCCACCCTGCTTAACAGACTACTTGCTGCTGCTGTGAAGACGCTACGTGGTAGTTTATGCACTGTATAGTTTATGATGCACAGTGCTCTAGCAAACTAAATGTCATCCAGTTAGGGTTTATCAGTTACTTTAATATGTTTAACATGTCATCAGTCAGGAGCCAGGCAAATCTCCCCACTTCCGGTAGCTATGGCTATGTAAGAAACAGACCCACTAGTTATTGTACTGCCGTGCCTTAAAGTTGGTGCAAATCATAAATGAATGACATCCAGTTTGCAAAAGCACTATCCATCATAAAAACTTTTTTGTTTTTGTAATAAAACCCTGTTTTATCACCCTTTGTTGCATCTTTGTGCTGCTGATCTCATGAAGTCTGTTTGTAGCCACGTCATGTCTATATGTATTCATGCCAGCTATGGTGGGATTCCTGACAGTGACACCATGTCTGCAGAACACACCTATGTATTTTTCATTGTAAGCCAATGTAACAGGGTGACAATGCAGGAGAATTTGAGAGACAGGGACACAGCGGTGTCACCCTATAACAAGAAATGCCTTCATAGCAGGATCAGCAGGGATTATTTTAATGAAAGCTGCAGATTTAAAAATATTGAAAATGATTTTTGAAAATACATTAACATGTAAAAATGTATATGAGATTTCAGTGATTGGGTTTACTTACAAGTTAGGTCTAGTTAGGGATTCATTAACCACTTGCCTACCGGGCACTTTCACCCCCTTCCTGCCCAGGCCAATTTTCAGCTTTCAGCACTGTTGCACTTTGAATGACAATTGCGCGGTCATGCAACACCGTACCCAAACAAAATTTACATCCTTTTTTTGAGACAGATAGAGATTTATTTTGGTGGTATTTAATCACCACTGTGTTTTTTATTTTTTGCTAAACAAACTAAAAAAGACTGAACATTTTGAAAGAAAAAATGTTTTTTCTTAGTTATAAAATTTTGTAAAATAAGTATTTTTTTTCCTTCACTGATGTGCACTAATGAGGCTGCAGTGATGAACACTGATAGGCATCACTGATGGGCACTGAAAGGCAGCACTCATATACGGCACTGGCTGGAACTGATAGGTGGCACTGATAGGCGACAATGACTGGCACTGATAGTTGGCACTGTAACGCAGCTCTGATGGGCACTGGTATGTGGCATTGATGGGCACTGGTATGTGGCATTGATGGGCACTGGTATGTGGCATTGATGGGCAGCACTGACAGGCACTGATAGGCGACACTGACTGGCACTGATAGGCGACACTGACTGGCACTGATGGGTGACATTGAAAGGCAGCTCAGATGGGCACTGATATGTGGCATTGATGTGCACTGGTATGCACTGATATGTGGCATTGATGTGGCACTGATGGGCACTGGCACGTGGCACTGATGAGCACTGACAGGTGGCACTTCTGGGGCCACACTGATCATCAGGGCCCACTGATCATCAGTGCCCTGATGATCAGTGTACATGTCCCCTCTGAGGAATGCCGCATACCGGCTCTCCTCTCCTCATGCGCTGTCAGCGTGAGGAGATGACTGCTGATAACCGGCATTTCCTATTTACACGCGATCAGCTGTCACTGGACACATGATAGCGCCTACGTCATCGGCTCTTTACTGCAATCGGTGATCTGCTGTGTCCCAAGGACATAGCGTACCACCGATCGCCGTGTCACGCGCCCTTGGAGGCATGCATGCGCAGCTAGAGTCGGAGGACGTCATATGACGTCTCCCAGAAAAAGAGAACCGCCGCCCTCCTGTAATTTCCTTGTATGGCGGGTGGAAGGCGGTTACAAATCATGTTTTTTGTTTAAGGCGATGTTCACACTGCATATCACCGTACAGGCAGTGTAATGCCAACTTGTAATGCCAACTCTGGCTTGGATTTTTTTCAATTTGTCACTTCATATCACAGCACAGCACGCGGGAAAATGCAACATGTTTTCGCACTGCAACGCACTTCACGCCAGAGTTGTAGTGTGAACAGGGCACATAGAGAACAATTGCTTTCTATGTGCTCTAACAATGAACTGCGTTTATCCATAGCATAAAAACACAGGTCACCGCATGAACCCTGAGAGTTGAACTTACTGTAATAGCCATTTGTCTTTTTATGAAGTGATAGCAGGTGACTTCTTATTTTAACCTGCAGCCAGCCATGTCTGTATAACCACAATAGAAAATGACAATTTCTCTTTCTTGTGATAACGGAGGCAGCCTGCAAATGCAATTTCCCCAAATCCCCCCCCCCCCCCCCCCCCTTCTCCTGCAATTGTTTAACAGCCCACAGGCAGTCCACTGCAGAGAACATATCATACTGATGTCTACCGCACAAAATGAATTGGAAGGAATGAAATATTTGTTATAACACTGGGACTGACCACGTGATTAGAGTACAGGCAGGCCTTCCTACTGAGTAGTCATCGTTCATTCCAATCTGTTGCAATGCCAACACAGCTGTACCTTTTATTCCCACCACAAAGTTACGGCATAACCCGAGCACATGATCGATGGGTGGGAAAAGGGTAACCAGAGAAATTCTTGGTACTTTTACCAGC